CTTGCTCAGGCTGGTCTCGAACTCCTGACCTTGAGCGATCCACCTGCCTCGGCCTCTCAGAGTGCTAGGATTACAGGCATGAGCCACTGCGCCCGGCCTAAATTTTATTTTTTAATTGACAAGTAATAATTGTGCATATTCATGGGGCACATAGTAATGTTTTGGTATTGATGGGGTATACAGTGATGTTTTGATGCATATGATGTATGGTGATAGATCAGGGTGTAATGTATCCTCTTGAAGCAAGCAGCATTTATTTTAGGTTGAAGTAAAAGAGTTATTTTTACAGCATCTCATTCAGGTAATGAGAGAGAAATCGCCTCTTATTCATTGTGTGTTAGTCTTTCTGTACATTATAGGTGTAAGCTTGGGAAATTATGTGCATTTCTAGTCATAGAAAATCTGAAAAAGATGGGTAGACTTGAGAAGTTAAACCACGAAAGGGTAACTCATCCACTAGAGCATTTCAATCTCTATTGACTAGCTGGGTCCTCGATATCAGAAAATGGGTAAACTTAATCTTAGGGTTTCACATTTTGGTAGAATGCTTCTTAGACATACAAGATGAGGTCAGAGGCATCAAGTGTTGCCTTAATACTAGAGGAGAAGGGAATATTCTTAAATCAAAATAGTCACTGTATGCCTCGAAAGGGATCTGTCCATTCATTTGACAGAAATTTCCTGAATGCCTCCAGGCCCTGTGTTAGGCATTGGGTCATCAAAGACAAATAAGAGAGATACTACCCTTAAGCTGCTTTCACTATCACAGTGCACTAGGAGAAAGAGATGCTAGTGCAAATGACACAAATAAATAAACCTAGATTTCTCAAATATTCTGGAATGGATGGAGGAAGGAGAGGAGATTATATGTTATACTAAAGTAAGTGGCGACTAAAAGTGTGCTGTATTTCACCAAGGAGGGTGATTCTAGTGATCCAAGGTCACAAGACAGACATTTTGAGATGTCTTCATCCTAGAGATGATGACTCTATTGAATCCCCCAGGGAACCAAAGTTTGCAACAGTCAAAGGGCTGTACTGGATTTAGTAATTTTTTATCCTCAAACTCTTACTCCGTGGCCCTTTTATTTAATTAACTGAACTAGGTTATTCTATAATAATTACATATACAATTAGAGTTAGCAAAAGTTTTTTCTTTTTTTTTTTTGAGACAGAGTCTCACTCTTTTGCC